AAGATCCCTTGGTCTAAAATCGATAAGAGTAGGCTTCGGCCGCCACCCGGGCAAAATTCAAAATTTCCTACCAACTGAAAATATTAGGTGTGTCCCGCGCGCTCATATGACCTTATGCAGTTGCGAGCGCCGTAAAACACTTCACAAAAACAAACAAAAAACATCATTACGTTTAGTAGATGACGACTTAAGAACATGATAAAGCAACTGTTGCAAAAGATCAAAATAGAAACTGAGGGAAAAGTGAAAGTAGATAATAGGATCAATGAAAGATGGATGATGGGTACAATTATATCAGTTTTACTTTTCTTTTTTTATTGAACTTTAATGAGAGTAATATATCATTTAAATTTTTATGTATTCCTGCATATGTTTTTACGGTCCTGTACAGCCAAGAACAAAATTTCCCTCAGGGATGATCAAGTACTATCTTATCTTATCTCGTAATATCTTATCGAAAAATACTTAACCCTTCCAGCCCCAAGCGCGTATATTTTCAGCAGTGCTAGTACCTCTCACCGTCCCAAGAGCGTATATTCTCAGTTTAGGAGGGTACCGAATTTGCCTATGTTTCGAAATTAGCAAACCTAATTAAACGTTAATTTTCATAATATTTGCTCATTTACTTTTAAAGATTGTTATATGTTATTATCTAAATCTCATTACAAAGATACTACATCACTTTTTAGAATGCATGCCTCTTTTTCTGAAATACTGCTGTATTGGCTGGGACTGGGGTTAGGGAGTGCAAAAAATGGCTGGGGCTGGAAGGGTTAATCTGTAGGCCTAATCTGTAGGCCTAATCTGTAGGCCTAGTCCTAGAGCTATTTATGCATTGTGAAAGAAAGTTAGAATCAGAATTAATTATTGTCTTTTTTTGTTTGTTATACCCTCAGCACTTACACAACGATGAACACAGACCACCCTCACAGAAACGAACAGTACATCTGCAAATTGTCGACCACAGAAGATTTGAGCACAGCAGTCTCGCCCGCCTCTCTCTTGCCAAACAGCAGTCTAGCCGAAACTTTGGAGAGCGACTTGGAGCGAAGCAACAAACAGTCTAACATACTCGCCTACTACATTCTGCTAGTCAGCCTTTTTCTGCAGGGGCTGGTCAACTCCTTCAGATATGGTGCTCTCCCCTTTGTTTATGTTGATGACAACGTGCTTGATAAAACACGGACTGGTGTTTTTATAGGTGAGCTGGACATTGTTTTCTTTCTTTCTGGTATTTATGTCTTCATGATCTAGTAATCTGCAGTGTTCATTTGTGAAGCATCCTGGTGAATTCAGGCGCTGCTCAAAATAATGAAATAGAAGAAAACGACATTTATTTTTCTTTCTTTTTGGCAAAAAAAGTTTTTGGCTCAGCACCTTTTATCTCCTTTTCAACGCACATTGCTGTGCCTTTTTTTTTTTTTTTTTTTTTTACTGAAAATTGTTGATAAAAGGCACAAAAATGTAAATTTTCCGTTTCCGATGACTCTCAAGCTTTTTTTCTCTATTATTTTACCTTTGAACCCAAGTGACCTCACCTGCTTCAGTTCGACATATCTGGACTTCTATTGAAGATAAATGAGTATTTTTTCATCGAAAGCAAGACAAAAGAACAAGATTTAAGAAGATACTAATAACTTTATAAGCCCAAAAATTGACGAGAACCTGATTCCTCCACGTCGTGACACATTTGAAGGTAATAATAATAATAATAATAATAATAATAATAATAATAATAATAATAGATAGCATTTGTATAGCGCATATCCCCGCTCAGCAGCAGGCTCTATGCGCTTTACACAATATTATTACCCCAGCAGACCATAGAACACTCCGAAACATTCTCAGTTTCCTGGGAAGCATACAGTGCAAGCAGCCGATTAAACGCTCAAACATTAACAAACTGACAAGATCTTTCGCTGCTATAGCCGGGTACCCATTCCCACCTGGGTGAAGTGAGGAAATTTCGTGTAAAGTGCCTTTCCCAAGGACACAACGTCGGGCCCTTGACGGGATTCGAACCCACGACCTTTGGGTTGCGAGTCTGAGAGCCTAACCACTAGGCCACCAACGCCCCTGTGTACAATGAAGACAATGTAGCACCTCATGAACAAGATGACGGTGCTGATTGTAATTAACATTGATAATGATTATTACTATAACTTCTGACTGCTTTCGAACCATGCATTATACTAGCAGGTGGCTCAGTGTATTTGTTTGTTTTGTTTTTGTAAAGTGTTTTACGGCGCTCGCAACTGCATTATGTCATATGAGCGCGCGGGACACACCTACTATTTTCAGTTGGTAGGAAATTTTGAATTTTGCCCGGGTGGCGGCCGAAGCCTACTCTTATCGATTTTAGACCAAGGGATCTTTAACGTGCGCAACTTGCACACGGGCCCTCCGAGATTTTTCGCCCTTGTCCGAGAAAGCTAGGTGTAGATCTTTCCTACCAGAAGATCAGGGGTGTGGCAGAAAGACAGCAGTAAGGAGGAGCCAAGGAGTAGCAGTAGAAAGGCTGCAGAAAGAGTCAGGAGCCCAGAGGAGGGGGCAAAGGAGGTGAGGGGGTGAAGGGGTGGGGGCAGAAAGTGGAAATGAAAGCAGACAACAGAACATTGCCAGAGAGCAGGGAAGGAGGTGAAAGGAGACAATTTTAGAGAAGAAAATTTTTTGGTCGCTACCCGGATTCGAACCCGGGACCTTTGAATGAGAGGCCAACACCTTAACCTCAAGGCCACGAGAGCCCCGCTCAATGTATGCAAGGATGAAGAATACATACCAGTGTATCTATCGTTGCTGACGCAAGCAATCCACTGAAGTCCTAGATCTTGAAAATTTCTCTTTTTTACACCCTCACAAAGTTCGATCAAAGATTCACTTTCAACATCACCAAAATACTGTTCGATGATGCTATCGTCAAGGCTTACAATTACGAAACAGTGTGGGAAAATCAGGCACTCGTCAAAATAATCAAAATGAAGAAACTGGCTTTTTTCTGCGGGCTTGTAAATTTTAAAAGAATTTTCGTTTTTTTGGTTCAACACCTTTCATGCCTGTTAAAGAACACATTTCTGTGCGGATTTAACTGAAAAACGTTAATTGAAGGCACAAAAGATGCAAATTTTCCGTTTTCACATAATCTCAAGCTAAGGACTAGCTCATCTTTGTTGGCCATTTTCTCACTAATTTTATCTCTGAGATCAGGTGACCCCCACCTCCTTCATTCGTAAATATCTTGATTTCTATTCAAGATAGATGGATTTTTTTTCATCTACAGCAAGACAAATGAACAAGCTTTAAGATGATACCAATAACTCTACATGCCAAAAAATTGACGAGAGCCTGATTCCACCGCGCCCTGATGCAATGTTCTTGCTTTTCGTGATTCCTGAAAGGAACAACAAATAAAAACTAGTTTTTGGCCTCAGGTGGAAAAAAAGTACCTAAACAGACTTTAGTGGATATAATTGCTTGTGACACCAACGATATGTGGTGTAGTGATTAAGTGCTTCACGGTCACATGCAGGAGACCCAGGTTCCGTTCCTGAAACCGTAGAATGTTTATAAAGTATCTCGCTCATGTTATCCCTGACAGGCAGGGAAGGAAGCCAGCCTCCTAAATTATCTAAATTGTGTCAATGGAGGCGTAGAAACACCTAATGTCAGAAAAGAAAATACAAGAATATTTACATAATTTATCGCTACTTCCTACTGATCAGCAAATAGTATGAAATGTGAAGTGTGCTGACAAAATGAGTTACTTCTCTGATTCAAGCCTTAAGAAAATAGATAAATCACGCTTATAGGTAAAGTTTTTACAGTTTATAAGTATGAAACAATAAAAGACATGTTATAGTAATTTTAAAAAATGGCATCAATTGAAAATCTACAAGTTTGACCCTAATGTCGATTTTTGGCCAATATCTCCATTTGTGGATTGCGGGAAGTAACTCATGTCGTCAGCATGCGTCACAAATGTGTTGTAAGAATTACTCTGCTCTTCTGTTTCAGCAATTTCCTACGTCCTGGCAGAGTTGACCGAGCCTGTAGGAGATGTGGTGAACAGCTTGCTCAGCAGTATTCCCGTGGATCTAAGTCGTGGGTACTTTTTCTCTACTTTTCTCTTTTTTTTTTGGCGTTTTATTTCATGTTGAATTCTCTTAAAGTTGTTTTTTTCTTTTGCCTGTTTGTCTTGTTTTCACTCTTAATATTCACAAAAATACACGCCCAGATCTGGAGACTCATAAAAAAAGAAGGAAAAAGGTCGCCCAGGGAACTTTGCAGCCACACAGCCAGCAGTGCAAAACACCCCATCTGGTCACCCAGCCAGGAGAGTGACTGCAACGGACTTCCCGGGCCTGGCGCGAAACTGCGCCAGGTGACAGGAATGGATAACTTTCACCGTCGCATTATTGCACCAAATGACTGCAAAGTGTTATAATAATAATAATAATAAATAGCATTTATACTGCGCATTTCCATTTTCTAAAAGATGCTCAATGC